CTGACTACTGTACTCCAAAGGGACCCGGCGGAAAAGTCATGAGAGCATGACCGACCGCATCACCCGGAAGTTGCCGCCAACATGCTCGCCAGTCAAACTACGAGGAGGGTTGCCCCACACTATGATCCAGAATGATCCAGACTTCCTGGAGGGGCAGGGCAAGACGCGCGCTTGGAGTCGAAGATCCAGTGGAGACAGTGCCAAATGGTCCTGGCCCCAAACCGCCTCGGGAAGAGAAACACAGATCAATGCGTCCGGAGGTAGTGCCCCTTCGCAAACAACAGCGGCGGAGACTGCCACGGAGGGGCAGCAGAGGGCATGCTACGACTATTCAAAACAACAGGCAAGATACTGGGCGGAAGCATTTGCAGCTTTGGAAATCGACATTATAGCCATGCCAGAAACACATCGCAGACTCAAAAGGGGCTGGGAGGACTTGGGCGCCTATTTCGCTGGGTGCCCGAAACAACGATCCATCGAGCTGACAGAACGCAAGATGACGGAGTCAGAACGAGAACCAAACGCCTTCCAGACACTTCCGGAGCAGGAGTCGACGTGAGATGGATCTTGACTTGGAAGCTTCCGGGTGAAGGAAGACGGAAACCCAGGGTCCGTGCAACCCTTGTAGATCATTTAGGATGTCAGGATGAGGGCTACTGCCACAGTATCAACGGTGATGACGCGCCAGACGAGACAAGTGGGTTTTAAATTGGCAGTCTGGAAACGTTGGGTGCTTCAAAAGGGCGACGTGGCAGACGCGTTCTTGCAGAGCCGCGAGTATCCTGAGATCTGTGCCCGCGCTGGGGGTCCCTGCTGGAAGCATTACTTGGGTCCGATGCGCCTGACCCCGCCACATGGACTCGTTGATGCCCCGTTTGACTGTGGAGATCTGTGGACCTTCCTTAGGAGTGAAAGACTCACAAGGATGCGATTAGATTCAAGTGGCAATCAAGTTGCTGGGTCCTGCGCAACAAGCGGACCCTAAAAGGGGTCATCAGTGGCCAAGTCGACGATTTCCTCTTTGCAGGAAAAGGGGGCGATTTACTCTAAGAACCCAAGTTGCAGGCCGTGAAAGAATAGTATAAGGGGGGTGACTGGGACAAATGACGATTCACACAGTGCGGTGTGATCATTGAACGGATTCCAGGAGAGTTTGAACTTTCCCAACCCAGCTACCTCAACAATTTCCGTGAACTCGGGGTTAATGCCAGCAGACGTAAAGACCGCTCTAGGCTCTAGACACACCATCGAACGTGAGAGAACCCCTTTGCGTGCCTTGTTAGGATGTTTCAGATGGCACGCTCAGCAGGTGGCACCTTACCTTTCGTACGACTTCTCCTAACTGCGGTATCCCGGAACACCGTGGAAGCCGAATATCCCTCTGAGCCGAGCGAAGGCCAAGTCCGCATACAAAAATGAAAGCCCAAGGATTCGGGAGAACGAGACCTAGGTGGATGCAGGAACGATATGACGGTCACTCGACTCCAGGCATCCTTTTTGAAATGACGACTCGGGAGATTCACCAGGGCAAGTGTGGGCAACAGATTGACTGGACCTGCAGATCTCCAGGGGCCGCCGAGGCACAAGCTTCCATGGTGAAGACTCCTTGCACCATGCGCTCTATGGAGTGAGTTCCTCTATGGGAAGCTTGAGAGACAGTGAAGCAAGTGGGGAGCTACGTGGTGGTTACGGAGATGCTGGTGATCAAGCGCGCAAAACGGCACAAAGACGTCGAACTCCTGGCCTTGGAGGCGGTGCAGTGGAATACTGGAGTAACGTATTCTCTCGCGCAAGTTACCAAATTAGCCAACTTGGTTTCAGCCCGAAGCTCGCCAAGATATGCCAAGATAGCACGGTTCTCGTTTGGCAATGCAACCGGCAGCTTAGCAGGGTGTTCATGATTTTTCTTGACGAGCACAGTACAGTAGCAAATACTAGTAGCAAGGCATGGACTTGTGTGGCACAGCTGGATGTTCAGGCGACCATGGCTTACACTCGCGGTCATGCTTGAAGTGCTTTCAGCCTTTCATAGGTATGCTGTTTGGCGCGCGGACCCGTGAGAGAAGGCCCTTTATCCCCTCAACACTTGTGACTCGTGACCCGGCATCAGTTCTCCAAAGGGTTGAAGCACAACGAAACAGCAGCAACCCCAAAATCGCGCAGGGCACCTTGGGAATGCTGAGCGTCTTTAAAAAGTGCCTGCGTGGAAGAGGCTGCGCCTCAACCCTACGCAGAGCGCAAGGAAGCTCAAATCGCAAGTGCCATGGGCATTTTGCAGACGCGAGTTACAGATAGCACAGCACTTCACTACTACACTACTTGAAAGTTTCGCACATGCTTGGACATGCCCAGTGCAAGGTGCACAGGGATCATTACATGCATTAGATGCGTGGCACGGAAACTGGATGGAGTATTTTCCGCAGCAGAAACTATCGAAATTTGCTTGGAGCCCTTTTACAAGAGGCCATGTGAGTTTGCGAAGCTACTACGCAGATCTACGCAGATGAGGGCATTTACATCAACTTGCATTATCGAGGACGCCGATCAGAGTCATGTTTCCAACTTCCAAGAAGCAGCACATCTTGCTCCCAAAAGCCTCAGCGCTTCCTGGATCGAAGACCCCAGGCGAAGCACCAAATTGGCATGGCTTCCTGCCATTGAAAGTCTGTAGCAATCGCTGAACAGCCGCAACGACGCAACGCCTCCATCCTCGGAGCTCCCAGAGACGCCCATAGCGCGGCCTATCTCATTCTCCTCGACAAGTAAGTCTTAGAGGTTGAAGTGTGCTTCTAGAAGCTTCAGCAGATTGTAAAAAGCAGCCCGCATGCGGACATACAGCTGTGCCAGTTGGGAATGCCGAATATCCCACTGCGGCGGCATGCAATGACCCATGATCCATTGTCTGCCCTTCGCAGCTGTGTACACTGAATTGCGTGACCACCTTATGGCAACGTGCTTTTCAAGATTCAGCGCATCAGGGTCATGCACATTTTTGCGGCTGAATTCTGCAGCACATGGCTTGGTATAGGTCTACTGTCAAGCAGCCTGCAATAACAGAAGGAAAGCTGCAGAAATCTTGCTGTGCTCTGAGTGAAACTTGTCCATTATGAACAGCTGTCAGCTATTGAGAAGCTGCCTTCCCAGACCTGAATCGAGCCGCACATGTGGAGGATGATTCTTCAAGTTATTCTACGTCTTTTTGGGGCGTTGCATGCTGGCAGACATTTGATGGGGGCCTGTCTCTCAGCTTCCTTGATCGGCGTTGGGGTCCTGGATAACAATCAAGATGTAGTCCTGAGCAACATACATGCTGCACACCATTTTTTTCACGAAGAAGCAATCTGCCCAAACAAGCACCAGGAGATGCAATGGGCAATTTAAGGTAACATGCAATGCGCGCGTTGCCAGTGACAACGGCCATGTAAACTATACCGCCTTCCCCTCTTCTAGATGTATTAAGCCTAAGGTACAGTGTTCCAGTCACTGCCACGGATCTTCCAGAGCGTAGCCCAGCTACAATGTGCTATACTGCATTTGGCAGAGACCGTTGGCTGTGGTTTGAATTTCTGGGCGTCAACCCTTACTTCCAATTTCGAGCGCGTTGGACTTTAACGGGCCTACAAGCGAAGAGATGTGAAGTACGGTCTAGAATCCCAGTGTGAGTGTTTGCCTTGTACGTTGGATTTTGGTGAGTGGCCTATCGTTTTCCAAGCTTTGGTGTTGGGCCGTTTTTCTCTCCCTGGGCCGTCTCCGGCAACTGGATGAATTTTCGTTCGCTGGTAGTATTATTTTAGTACTGGAACGGCCGTCTCCGGCAACCGGATGGATGGATTTTCGTGCCCCTGGGAGTACAACTTTAGTAGTACCAGAATGATTTTTTTTGCATTTCGACCCATCGCTTTTGGTGATTGGCCTATCATTTTCCAACCCAAAATGCTATTTCCAAATCTTCGTGTCGGTCCCCTTATAACTTATAACCCTAGACCTGGATAGGAAAGACCGTGCTTCATGTGAAGGTACGAATCATTCCATGCTGTCACATTCGGTGACATGTTGAGGGAATGACAGCTGCGATCTAGCTTATCTGAAGCCAAAAAGAAAACAGGGACGTCACAGCGCGAAAACAGGGACGTCACAGCCATCACGACTTGACGACACGTTTGGATGGCGATGACAACGACAACGACGCCGCGGACGACGGTACGACGATGACGACAGACTGTCAGCACAGAGTTACGAGTTTGCGTCGGAATTTATCAGCATAAGCCCAAACTGGATTTGTGTTCACTTTGAAATTTGTTCCTTGTTTGGGCTTGGGTGATCGAACCTATATCCTGGTCGCTGCGCCTTGGCGCTATCGTCTCACAGAGTCGTCGCGTCGCCATCGTGCAGTCGTCAAGCTGTCGGCGGGAGGTTGTCGCGCTATGTCGCGCTACCATTGGGTCGCTAGCTGGGCTTGCCGCTTGGACTTGCACTTTATCGGAGGCTCTTGTTGGTAGCCTCTGTAAATGCGCCCTACACCCCATAGCGTCTGCAGTACGAAATGGATTCAGTAGAATCTGGGTCCTTTACGCATCTTTGCCCAGCCCGCACCATCCTAGCAAGTGAACAGGAAGAGGCATAATCGCATACTCATCCCATCCACCTGAACTAGTGTGGTGCCCATGCTCAAAGTGGGAGTGCTAACTGTTCCGTGGACAATGATGGGCCAACTCAGCAGAATACATTCGCAAAAGCGAGCTCCGTCGAGCTCTTTTTCTGTCCAGACAATGCAGAGTCTGCCCACACTGTGAGCTCTTGTTTTACATGGAAGCAGCTCCATCACACTGCAGAGGACATCATTCGGTTGAACGCAGCTTTGAGCTTGTTTGCTTGCATTTGTACTGTAGCTTTCAGGCCTCAGCTCTTACAGTGCATGACAAGACGAGAGTACCACAACTTCAGTACTGTAAGTGGTGACGTGCAACGAGCATAACCACCTCTACTTGCTGAACCTGCTTTCAAATTTGGTCTGCTACAGTTCCACAAGCCAGAGAGCAGTCCCTCAAGAAGGATCGTAAGTTGGCGACTCGATCCGGCGCAACCATGATCTCATGCTTCTTGGACCGAATCCTTTGAGGTCGGCTGCTCAAGTACCCTCGCATGGTGCACACTGATGCACGCATGGGAAGTCCTGAGAAACGTCAGGTCGTTCTGAGGATCCTCGTAGCAGACAGTCAGAGAATGCCGGCTGGAGAACTGTGCCCAGGCTGCACACCAACTCTCGGACCACGCTGCGTGCCTCCCAAACACGGACGCATTCTACAGAATAAGCGGCGCACGACTACCAAGCTGCAGCTTTTGACACCGTCTCGCCTTCGCAGCAAGTTGTGATATGAGAGCTGAGTATTGCAGAGTCTGCTTGCTGTCAAGCCTCACCAGCAGGACGCAGAAAGGATATTGGTGTGGATGCAAGCTGAGCTGAGGCACAAGACGTTGATCTCATTGGTACGCCCTCACTGTTCACAATGACAATGCCTTTGCGACTGGTTTCTCAAGACAGCTGCTCATTTACGATGCGCTGTTCCCACTCTAACGTTAGCTTCATCAGGCATCTGTCACATGAGTGGCCGGGCACGACAAGCCATCCAAGGCCTGAGACTCCCTTGTGGGTCTTGATGCGGTTCAATGTCTCCTCCACCTCGAACTGACTGAAGAGTTAGGAAATTTCGGCTTTCAACTAAAGCTTGCCAACACCCTCTGCTGACAGGAGCATTTCTCCCAGGTGAGCTTGATACGAGCAAAGCGGGGGACCAGGCTACAACCATTCATCGACATGTACAATTCTTTAATGCACCGCACACCTGAAGTGGGTTTCCTGTAGGAGCCCACATCCGGCTCCAGTAGTCTTAGCAGCTCTTGCGGCTGCGGCTAGGGAGCCCAGGGGCCTGGCAAATCAGAAAGTTGCTGGAGCCAGCTGGTTGAGAGGAATCTGCAGAGTCGACTTCCCAAGCAAATGGCGGTAAGTCTGGTTGCTTCGCCTGGGCCCCAAATATAGGAAACATGGCAAGCTTTGATGCACTTCAGCCAACAACATTATTGCTGCAGTTTCTTCGCCCCCTGCTGGTTACTGAGTTAAAGCCATGCCGCAGCTTCTGCAACATGGCCAACACACGTGACGCATAGGCCCTTGAAGACATTCGGGGCCGCTGACCTGCAAAATGCCTGGCGGTCCCTTCATCAAACGGAAAAGGCCCTTGAAGACACGATTCAGGCGATTCTGCCACCAATCCATAGCTCTGCACTGGTGGCTGGAAAAAGCTACCGCGAGGTTGCTTCCAGCCCCGGAATAAGTTTTTCAACGTAGCCCTGCGTCCTACGCTGAAACCGATTCTCCGCACGTCCTGGCAGCGCCACAGCATGCCTCGTGGTCCTGGAACGCGTGGTGGCATGTCGCGGCCAATCCGATGACAACTGGTTTGCAACGGGCTTTGCTGGATCTGAAACCGCAACACCGACCATTGATGCCTGGGGGCCTTGTTGCAGGCTGGCCATTCTCGGAAAGGGCAGACGTCGGCCGATGCTCAGCAACCGTCGAAACCTTTTTCTTCATTCTCGACTTCCTCGTTTCGTGGCCGGCGGTATGAGCTGGAGGCTCTTAAGTCCGCCATGGCCGTCATGGCCCTGCCGCATTGGGGATGCACGCCTAGCTAAAGCCATACTCTATTACAGACCTGGGGCACGGGGCCGCCTCCCCAAATCCCTACCCGTTCGAGATCCTGCCAAGCCTCAGTAAAAAGTCGTGACGTGCTTGCGACTTTAAGTGGCTTTTTCAAGGCTCAGAACCTGCTTATCCTTAACGTTCCTTGACTCAACCCATCTCAACCCAAAATGTCCAAAATGGAGTCCCAATTGTGCTAATGATGCTCGCGTAGTTACACAGGGCGGTGTGTGTGTGTGTGTGTGCGACTTCCCAAGCTGCTGTCATGTTCATTCATGATCTAATCTCCATTCCCTTGCTAAGCGGCTAGTGACCCACGGCATTTGCCAGTCGTCGTATCTAAATGATACCACAGCACAAACACAATGCGCCTCCGACATGCTGGGATGCTTGATTCGCCTTACAACATCTTTGTTGACAAAGCTGGCTGCCAGCTTGCAAGCATTGCAAACAGCGCCGGTTGAGATCCTTGCTTCGTAAGTCCAGGCCAATGCAGTCGGATCTAGCCAGCACGCATCTCAAAGGCGAGTCAAAAGAGCCAAATCATATTGCGCGAACGGCACATCAATGCAAGTAGCGTTGAAAAGGTAGGATGCGATCAGAGGCAAAAAACGGCAAAAGCATGCAAAAGCAAAGCAACCACCCTGCAAGCGCACCTTTTTACGAATTACATGCTTGCAGCATGCCCAGCTCCCTCTGTGGCCTAAGCGACCTCCGTATCATCCAGTAGGAGTCTAGCGACGATCATGATGCATTAGGTCAACGTGTATGCTTGTGTCACGTACTTGCTGCACTTTGCTAGCAGATGCCAGGTAGGCAGCGCTTAATTGTCGTACAGTAAGCAGGGCGGATTTCTGGGTACAGCTGCCGAAAGATGTGGGTGCTGCATCAGCCAGGGGCAAGCACGAAGATCTAAGACTGGCTACTCAGTTGGAGACCGCGGTTGTTGTCTTGCCAGGGTGTTCTGGCATAGCATAGCTTCAAGCTGAGCTCATGTCATGTCTATCAACTAAACTGACATGTTGACGGAAAAGGCCATGCTGGCGACGCCACATTGAGCATGAAGACCTGCCCTTCAAATTCTTTGATTCGGATACCTCACACAAGGCGCCAGTTGCAGCGCATGTCAAAATGGACACCCTACGACTCATGAAAAATAGACTTGGGCCATAAACCATACATCTTATCTCAGCCAAGTAGCAGAGCATCAGTGCGTTGCAGTTAGCAGTCCAGGAAATCCAGGAAGAGGAAGTCGCGAACCCAGAAGATTGACCAGGATGTCCTTCGGCAGAGCCCAGGATACAGGAAGACAATATAGAGACTTCCGCGCAGAAAGTTTCATGGTAAGTTATCATTTGCATAAATTTTAACAGCTCTGTTTTTGGAACCGGCTCGCACCAGTCAATCTCAATACTCCTGTCTGGCCCAAGACGTGCCACAGCCCTTCTACCCGGCTGCCAGGAAGTTCTGTCACTGGCTCTTTAGGAGGACAACTGATGAGAACTGCACATTCTCAAGCGAAAGACAATGCTACAATGCAGGGAATAGGCCAGCCTTTGCGAAAGCTTCAATCATAGCTCCTAACCCCAAACTCACCCCGTCGTTCAAGAGTTCTCCCAGATGCGCCGGATTTTTCCCTGTGGGTCTGGCAGCTGGAAGGAGTGGACTCAGCTGACGAGATTCGTTGCGTGTACTGTTCCAGGCATCCGCAGGGATTCGCAATTGTCGGCAACATGGAGGCGCGGCACACGAGGATTGGAAGTAACAGGAACTGATTGTGCGTAACAGGGACATGTAACAGGAACAAAGCCCAGGTTTGTAACAGGAACCGGGGTTGCGCTGTAACAGACTCCCTGGGCCCGCCGTAACGGGAACTGCCTGGGTTCCATGAGGCCAGGTGACTCTCTCGAGGGGCTCCAACGTTTCTCTTCAGAGTTTGCTGGAGGGGGGCCGATTTTGTGAAGTTAAGGTCTTACTAGGTACTCTTCCAAAGTAGGGCTTTTTTCCTAAAGACTTATGAGAGAGTGTGGCTCAAACTAGAGTCGTAGGAGGGGTTCTTCCACATGAAAGTCCTGGTGTATTTGAAGGCCCCGTTTTTGACAATATGTAACAAGGGCCTCGTTAGGGACTACGTTAAATCAAGGTCTTATTAGGGACGCGTC